ACGAAGGAGGAGGAGGGAGGGAGGAGGAGGAGGAGGAGGAGGAGGAGGATCTGCAATCTTTTGAATTTCTTTCAAGAAAAAAAAAAGTTGACGAAGGATGAGGAGGAGGAGGAGGGAGGGACGAGGAGGACAGAGGAGGAGGAGAGAGGAGGAGGAGGGAGTAGGAGGAGGAGGAGGATCTGCCGAGTTTCGAATTTCTTTGAGGAAAAAAAAAAAAAGAGGAGGAGAGAGGAGGAGGAGAGACGAGGAGGAGAGAGGAGGAGAGAGGAGGAGGAGAGACGAGGAGGAGACAGGAGGAGGGAGGACGAGGAGGAGGAGGGAGGGAGGAGGAGGGGGAGGAGGAGGAGGAAGGGGAAGGAGGAGGAGGAGGAACTCCCGACTCCAAACTACTTGATTTACCTGAGAGAGAGAGAGAGAGAGAGAGAGAGAGAGAGAGAGAGAGAGAGAGAGAGAAGAGAGAACCAACCTGCTGCGCACTGCTCGAAGCCCTGCTCACGTTGCCTGCCGCCGCTGGTGCTGCTGCTGCTGGTCGACGAAGGCGATGGGGTGGGCACATGCTGCTGCTGGTCGAAGAAGGCGATGGCGCGGCTCCACGAAGGGTCGACAGCGGGAGGGAATCCTCGACGGTGGGGTTCCACGACGGCGGGAGGGAATCCTCAACGGCCGGCTGGGGGGATAGTCCAACAACAAAATTAAAGAACCGACTTCCCCCCCCCCCCAGACTTCAAATCAGGAAGAGTCTTCACAGAAGTTCAGACTGTTCAAAAAAAAAAAGAAGTACGGGCCTTCGCGCGGCCTCCAAAAAAATTTTCGCGCCCGTTTTGGTAATTTTCCTCGGACCCCCCCGAACCCCAAAACCCGAACCGACAATTTTTTTTTTTTTTGGTACCCTGCAATTTCGACCATGCGCCGCGCGTCGTGCGGGCGCTATTTGCGCGCTGCGGCCTGCGCCGCACGTGCGCAAGTGCTGCGCACGACGTGCACCGCAAGTATGATATTGAGTGTTGTGTAGTGGAATGAGGCCCACAGTGTCTGCAACCACAACAACAACAAAGAAAAGGAAAAGGAAGAAGTAGAGGAGGAGGAGGAAGAGGAGGAGGAGGAAGAAGAAGAAAAAGGAGGAAGAAGAAAAAGGAGGAGGAGGAGGAAGAAGAAGAAAAAGGAGGAGGAGGAGGAGGAGGAGGAGGCAGGAGAAGGAAAAGGAAGACGGGCAAAAAAACAGAGACACAGAAAAAGACGAAGGAAGAAGAACAAGAAACAAAAAAGCGACAGCCATTTAACGTGAGAAGAAGAAGAAGAAGAAGAAGAGGAGGAGGAAGGAAGAGGTAGAGGAAGAGGAAGAGGAAGAGGAAGAGGAGGAGGAGGAGGAGGAGGAAGAAGAGGAAGAGGAAGAAGAGGACAAGGAGGAAGAAGAAGAAGAAGAGGAAGAAGAAGAAGAAGAAGAAGAGGAAGAAGAAGAAGAAGAAGAAGAGGAAGAAGAAGAAGAAGAAGAAGAAGAAGAAGAAGAAGAAGAAGAAGAAGAAGAAGAAGAGGAGGAGGAAGAGGAGGCAGACGAAGAAGAAAAAGGAACACGAGCAAAAAAACAGAGACAAAGAGAACGACGAAGGACGAAGATTGAACGAAAAACAAAAAAAAAGTGACAGCCTTTTAACTTAGCCACGTCACAATCATATGACGTGGGTGCTTGTAATGACGCACCCTAATCTCCTTGTTTCCTGTTTCCTGTTTCCTGCATGCTATCTTATCCTATCTAAGTCTAATCCGATCTATAACTGCGTACCGTACTCTAATTTAAATTCCCTCATAGAATCCAAGTCTAGCTAGCAGTCGCTACCGTCATCTCCGATTTCACTCCTGCTGCCAGAATTTCCCTATTTCTTACCAACATCGCCACTCACGGCTGTTACGACGCTATTTGGCGCTGTGGTACACGCTGCTATGTCTCTCAAAGAGTGTCAATCCCTCCCCATGGCCAGTTGAATGTTAGGTTTTTTCTCAATGGATTCTGCAAAGACTCCCTGAGGTGCATCATACGTCCAGCGGCAGAGGTATATGGGTGGCTGCGCAGGGCCAGTACCTCGCTTCGCCATCTCCACTCGTTTCAT